GTCCTGCCTTCAGGTGCCTTGGAGAATAGCTTGACTCCCTCTTCTTTGTGGCAGCCCCTGAGATATTGGAACACTGCTATCATGTCCCCCCTCATCCTTCTCTTCGTTAAACTAGACATACCCAATTCCAGCAACCGTTCCTTATATGTTTTAGCCTCCAGTCCCCTAATCATCTTTGTTGCTCTTCTCTGTACTCTTTTTTAAAAATAAAAATAAAATAATGCAAGGATTTTGCATTCAGACCAAAAAATCCCAGTAACTATTTTACATAGAAAAAAAGTAATAGATCTAGTCCATGAAAGTTACATGATCAAAAGTCAATGGTATAGTACTGAATTTCTGATAATGAGACATAAGCTATGCAGTTGTTACTATATTTGATGTACTCCGATTTGAAACATGATCTACAAAAATATCACTTTATTTCATGTTACATAATATTTCAGTTCAGGGTTTGAAGATTATGTTCATCACATAGTGCCTATTCATGGATTCTGATACTGTAACTGCAGTAAAATAGGAAGATTGGATTTATATACCTAAGACTGTGATTCATGAATTAATGATAATTTTTGAAAATTAAGGCTATTTAGTATGTTACTAATATGTTATAAAAATGATTATAATATAACTTAGTTATTGCAGAAGTAGGACTGAAAACTTCAAAATAACTATTGTTTTACCACTACAGAGTTATTAATGGTAAAATATTTTATAATTTCAGGCTGATTTATATACAGAATTAAATAATGTGAGTGAAGAAGATTCTTCTAGCAGAAACACGACTCCATCTTCTTGTGGTAAGTACTTGTTGCAACTTTCCTCAATCTGTGTTTTTTTATTTATTTTTTGCTAAAGCTATTCATTTAAATATGCTACATTGCGTGGAAATTTAGTCAAACTGAATTTTAATTACTGTAACATAGAGTAGTCACTTTTTAAATACTGCCTTATTGTTATTTAGCAAGTTGACTTGCTATTTAGATTTTAGTTATTTCAATGTTTTTAATAAGATTTTCCGAGAAGAAAAATAAAAAATTGCTGACAAATATGTTCTGTTGTACTCTCAGAGAAAGAGTCTGAATCGGGAACAAATTTAATCTGTCTCTGTGGTTTCAACTGTATTGATTAGTATTTTTATTAACATATTGATTTTTCCTATTCTCTAAAGCATTATATTTTGATAGTAAGCTACAGTACTTCTGTAGAAGTACCAACCTATAAATTAATTTTAATGTGTGGCAGTTGGAAAAGTTTTAAAGTATAATAAAATACAGATGCTGTTTCTAAGCTCTGAGATCAATCAGTAAGTTTCATATGTTTTCTCCCTTTAGACACAATTAACTATTATTTTCTCAATATAAAAAGATAGGAAAAGAATGGAGAATCCACGAATACGAATGGGTTAAAGAAGTCCTCTAGCCCAATCAGACCAAATCAATCAAGTTGCCATGCCCCTGCTGGACTGGACCTTGCCCCAGTTTCGATTTGGTCTCAGCCCAGGACGGACGTGGAAACCTGGCTCCCAAAGCGAAAATTTTAGGAGGACAGGTCATATTTCCTTTTGTTTGATTCCCATTCGTGGATTTTTCATTCTCTTGCCATCTGGTCAGCGCACCATGACCAGCATTTGGGAGCAAGGACAGTACGCACGCTGCCCGGGGGATGGAATGGCTACCATCCCAGGGGCTGTACAAACCCCCCCCGCCCAGGACATGACAGTGGAGACAGCAAGAAAGGGGGAGGTAACATCTTTGAGACCCCCACCATGCCACCGCACCTGTTCGGACTGGCGCAATGTAACCACACCCCCGAAGGACGCGCAAGGGGTTAACACCCGTAGCCGCTCCACCATAGGACTAGTAACGCGCTCCCAGGCAGCAGCGCAGCGAAGGCATGAGGAGGAGAAAGCCACCGGCAAACTAGGAACGGCATTGGGGCCCCATAGAAGGAGAGAAGGGAGGTTGCCGATCGGATGGAGTATCAGAACGGGTGCCCGTGGAAACGCCCACCACCCCCACGATTGAACAACGGAACCTACGGACTGATCTGTGTGATGGGTTGGGGGTTGGTTGGAGGGACGGGAGGAAGGTCCCCATCGGAGGTAGGAATGGCACGGGTGTCAGTGAAATGGAAGGAAAGAACACAGTGGAGGTTGTGAGTGGATGCAGGATCCCTAGGACTGGACTTCACCGAAGGGAAAGCGGGGGTAATCATGATAAACATCAAAGGGGTGGAGATGGAATGGCCCCCAAGGATCGTGAAAGGGTGAATCAGCCCAAGGACGGGAGGCGTGTTCCAGCCTGGGAAAGCAGAGGACGCCCACCTGAGATACGGACACAAAAAAGGGGGGAGGGGGGCGGCAACACACATGTAGGTAAAGGAGGTAAGGAAGAATTAACTCAGTTTGCAGATGAGGCCAAGATTGGCCGGCCGGGATCTGTCACGAGATCTAGGAGCCGTGCGCAGACATGACTGTATTTATAAGCAAGCTCTCCCAGCATCCTGATTATACCCTGACGATGATGGCAGTTTTAGGCCATCGAAAGCTTGGTTTTATACTTCCTGGTGATCACTTTGTTGTCTTTTAAAAATATGTTCATACCCAGGAATCGATCTTCTATTTTTAATGTTATTTTATATATATATATATATATATATATATATATGTTTTTTAAGGTTTTCACGGGTGTTTATATGTGAGTCTTTGGTCATTCGGGTTTTCTCCCGTGTAAGATTAGAAGTATCATAGCGACGTTTCGATGAAATCACATTCATCATCATCAGGCTTGTGCTTTTAGCTTTGTGCTTCTCAGTGTAATATGAAATGTCTGCTGNATATATATATATATATATATATATATATATATATATATATATATATATATATATATATATATATATATATATATATATATATATATATATGGGAGAGGAGACCTCCCTTAGTAACACGCGGCATCTGTCGCAAAGTATGATTCCGTGCTTAACGTGGGCCGGACTTCACAGTTTCTCGTGTAGGCCTGTACCACCTCGGTGGGCCGTAGCCGTATCTCCTGCAGACCAGGACAGCTTCACCGATCTGCTGGAAAACTCCTGATAATTATGGCGGACAACACCGTTCCACAGGCTTCCACCTCCAGTGGAAATAATAAACACAAGTCATCCAACCAAGAAGCGGCCGCGAAAATCAAGGCCAAAACCAAAAGAACATCTAAGGCGGCTGAAAAGCAGGCTGGTCGCAGACACAGGGCGTTAGAAAGGTAATTTTCCAAAGCCCAAAAACGTGCAGCGGAGGGCCCGATTCCCTTGGCTCCTCCCCCCATTGCATCAACAGTGGGGGACCCCCGGCCCTTGTCCTTTGTGCGGGCTTGGTCTCCAGAACAGAATATAGATCAGGATCTCTCACTTGGGTTTAGCCAGGATCACCTTTCTCTTTTTGAGCAGGATCTAAGAGTGCAGACCCAGGATCCGCCACCAGGAGCCGAGTTCACCCCTCCCACAGTGGTGGGTGGAGTCTCGGAGAGTTTTTCCCTTGCAGGTCCATCTCAGGCTCCATCAGCTTCATTCACTCCTACGGCGGTGGGACTCCGCCCCCTGGAGTATTCTTCATTTACGGACCAACTCCAGACCATGATTTCTCAGGCTGTTGCTCAAGCTATGGCTTCTTCAGCACGTGCCTCAGCGACCCCGGGGACGTCACACCCTCTCCTTTGTGCGGGGACTTCACGGTCCAGGGATTATCAGTACCCGGATCTGGCTTCTCTACCACATTCCTGTGGGAGCGAGGTGTCCGAATATTCGGAGCAGGTCTTCGAAGAGGGTCAGTGGTCCGATGTTGAGGAGGCGCATACGGAGGCCCTTCCCTTTGGTAGGTTTGTTCAACCCTACTTCTTTTTCTTCTCTTTTACGCAGATTCCTTGTCCTCCCATGTTTCTAAAATCGGTGCGGGATCAATGGGGTTCCCCAGGCACCTTTTCTGCCCTCAGGGGGATTGACCGTAAACTCACTCAGGTTTCGACCCTGAATGAGGTGTTGGAGGTTCCAGGAGTGGACGAGTCCCTTACTCCCATCCTTTCAGAATCCAAGATTCCAGGCGACATGTTGGAGGCGTTGAAGGTCGAGGACAAAAAATCAGAGGTTTCCTTACGTAGGACAGACCAGGCCTCAGCATGGGCGTTAATAGCTTCCACATTGAATTCCTTTTTCGCCAGGATCTCTCTGATCTGGCTACGTGAACTCCAGTCCAGAATCTCCCCAGAGGAGGTAAGGGTACACCAAGATGTGACCAAGTTGCGGGCAGCCTTGGAATACATGGCAGACGTGTCCCTCCAAGCGGCTAGGTTCTCTGCCCGGGCCATAGCCTCCAACGTCGCCGCACGTAGATTATTTTGGCTTAGGAATTGGCATGCCGACACCAAGCACAAATGGAGGGCGGCTGTGGCCCTGTACCAGAGCGGTCGCCTCTTTGGGGAGGCCCTCACTTCGTACCTGGTGGAAAACAGGGAAAAGAGGAGGGTACTTTACCATCTGTCCAAAAGATCAGGCAGGCGTTTCGCCCCATATAACCGTCGCCTTCCCTTTCGATCGGAATTGGAACCGACCTCAGCAGGAACCGACCTCAGCAGGCCCTTTTCAGCAGGACCGGACCGCTCCTTGGACCGGTCCAGTTACAGAGACAGGCCCAGACAGCAGGTTCTGAACAAACGTCTTTTTCAAGGCAGAGGAGGTCGCCCCTTCCATAGGTCAAGGTGACTTGGGGTGGACCCGTCCCATAGGCGGCAGACTGACTTACTACATTCGCAAATGGGAGGACACCACCACGGACGCTTGGGTGCTCACCACCATCAGGGATGGCTTGTCCCTGGAATTTGTGACAACCCCCCCCTCGACGCTACATCACCTGTCCCGTCGCGGAATCCCGTAAAAGGCCTCATGCAGGAAGCCATTCAACATTTCTTAAGCATAGAGGCCATAGAGCGGTACCGTCGGACCAACTGGGGCAGGGGTTTTACTCCATCCTATTCGTAGTACCGAAATCTTCAGGGGGATGGAGGGCAATACTGGACCTCAAGGTTCTAAACTTGCATCTGTCGTATCGCAGGTTCAAGATGCAGACACTTCAATCCATCTTGGCCAGCGTACGGCAGGGGGACTTCCTGACATCAGTAGCCCTTACAGAGGCATACCTTCACATCCCCATTCATCCGAATCATAGAAAATTCCTCAGGTTCAGGTACTCCAACCATCATTTCCAATACAAGGCTCTCCTGTTTGGCCTATCGTCGGCTCCCAGGGTTTTCACCAAGATCCTGGCGATACTTGCTGCACATCTCAGGTCGGTCCCAATTCGCGTTCAGTGCTACATGGTCGTCCTCTGCACCGAACGCACTGACGGACCTGGAGCTAACCATAGGGACGCTTTAAGGTCATGGTTTCTTAATCAATTTTCAAAAGAGCCACTTGATTCCAGCCATTCGTCTATTGCACTTAGGGGCTATAATAGACACAACCCTTTGTCAAGTATTCCTATTGCAGGAGCGTCAAGTCAGCATCCATACTCTGGTCCTCAAGGTCCGCAGGGAACGGCGGGTGACCCTAGCCCTGCTCTCCCAACTGTTGGGGAAACTAATTTCCTGCATTGCCATAGTTCCTTGGGCCAGACTTCACACAAGACAGCTCCAGTGGTTCTTACTTCCCTACCAAAGACGGGGCATAAGCTCTTTTCCCCAGAGGGTATGAGTTCCAGCACAAATGCTCAGATCCCTTCTCTGGTGGCTCTCCCCAGCTTTGTCCAAGGGGTCCCTTTTCAGGGAGCCCGTTCATGTGACCTTGACCACGGACGCCAGTCTATTTGGCTGGGGGGCACACCTCCAACTTCAATTCTCTTAGGGCCGGTGGTCCCAGCAAGACCTCAGACAAAACATCAACTGGCTGGAACTCAGGGCTATACGCCTGGCACTTTGCCATTTCCGCAGAACGATTGTGGGGTGCCATGTGTTGGTTCTGACTGACAATGTGACGGCAAAGGCCCATGTTAACCGGCAGGGCAGTACTCGATCGTGGCCCCTGATTTCTGAGGCCCGGTTACTGGGATCATGGGCGGAGCGGAATCTTCTTTCCCTGAAGGCGAAGCACATTTCAGGGGAGGCGAACCGGCAAGCAGATTATCTGAGTCGCTCTACGGTAGCCCATTCAGAATGGAGTCTGCATCCACGTCTCTTCAGAGAGATCGCGCAGCGGTTCGTTCAACCGAGTGTCGACCTATTCGCCTCCCCGGTGAACGCTCATATCCCACAGTTCTTCTCCCGTTTCCCCTCTCGGGTCGGAGGGAGTAGACGCTCTCTGCAGCCCTTGGCCTGGGGGACTGCTATACGCCTTCCCACTGTTTCCCCTGATTCCAGCGATCATCAGAAAACTTACAGGAACAAGCGGAGCTGATATTTGTACTGGCCGAGGTGACCATGGTTTGCGGATCTCATGAGCCTCGCCGTAGCTCCTCTGTGGAGGATTCCTCCAGATCGGATAATCCTGCTAAAGGGGGTCATACGACACCGAGACCTGCAGTGGCTCCAGTTGACCGCCTGGCATCTGAACGCCAGATCCTGACCCGGGGTTCATACTCAAGAGTGATCTCAATGATCCAAGCCTCTCAGCGGCCGGCAACAAATCGGATATACGATGCCATCTGGCGGAACTTCTGTCGCTGGTGTGACCAAAATAGTTTGTCCATTTTTTCTGTTACTATTCCGAGGATACTCGAATATCTCCTGGAAGGCCTAGGCAGGTGGCGGCCATAGGCAGGTGGCGGCTTTCTCCACGGTTTTCACCTGTGCCAATTCCGCGCCATTGTCTGAACACCGAGGGTTCGATCCTTTATCAAGGGGGTTACAAACAGTAAGCCTCCTGTAGTCCATCGTTACCCCACTTGGGAGTTACCATGGGTTCTACAGGCTCTTACAGGAACCCCTTTTGAACCCATCAGATCTTGCACTCTGAGACACTTGTCCCTTAAAGTGGCCTTAATAGCAGTGACATCGGCAAGGCGCGTCTCAGAATTAGCAGCTTTTTCCGTGAGGGAAGACCTATGCACCTTTCACCAGGACAGAGTGGTCCTATGGTTGGACCCCTCATTCATTCCTAAGGTTAACACCTTATTCCATAGGGCACAGGAGGTTGTATTGCCGGACTTTTGTCCTAACCCATCACATGACTTAGAGAGGCAATGGCATGCTCTAGATGTCCGCAGGGCCCTGCAATATTACATTAAACGGACAGCTACCTTTCGTAGATCGGAGGCACTTTTTGTATCTTTCCATCCGGCTTCTAAAGGTCAGAAAGTCTCTTCTTCTACTATTGCCAGGTGGATCAAGGCCTGCATCGCGGAGTCGTACCGGGTACGCTCCCTACCTGTGCCCAGCCGTCTGACAGCACACTCCACACGCATTGCCTCTAAATCAGCTGCGTGGCACACTCAGGCTTCTATCGTTGACATTTGTAGGGTGGCGACGTGGTCTTCGCCTTCCCCCTTTATCCATCATTACATGCTTGATAAATTTGCCTCTGTAGATGCCTCCTTCGGCCGCCGTGTTTTACAACAGGTGGTTCAGTCAGCGTCGACACTTGACCAGCCTGTTTCCCACCCGTAGGGTCACATGGGCTTTGATATGTCCCATTTGTGGATTCTCCATTTTTTCCCATGCTGGAGAAGGGGCGTTGTCTTACCTGAATGGCTTTTCTCAGCATGAAGAATGGAGAATCCACCCCCTCCCCTTTTTGAAATTCACAGTCAGGTCAGTGTCAGTAACTGGGAGCCAACACGTCACACAGTCTTTAGCTTCGCCCTTTTCAAAACTGGGGCAAGGTCCAGTCCAGCAGGGGCATGGCAACTTGATTGATTTGGTCTGATTGGGCTAGAGGACTTCTTTAACCCATTCGTATTCGTGGATTCTTCATGCTGAGAAAAGGTGTTCAGGTAAGACAACGCCCCTTTCCATAGAGGGTTTTGTTGTTTTATAAAAATAATCTGTAGCTACATCAAACATTTTCTAACAGAAGCAGAGAAATTACAGATTCACATTGTATTTCTTTAAACTCTGTAGAAAAGGTTTATGTTGGGAAAGATTGTACAAGTAATTTATCAGGTTGCATTGATTATAATACGGTAGTAATTTACATTATATTCACATCTGAATTCATCTGAGAACATTGCTTTATGAGTTCTTACCAGTTTCTTTTATGAATATATTCTGTAAATCAGACTATATGATAATTAGCCCAATTAAAGTGTGTAAAGGCAAAGCTGATCTTTAAAATGTGAATTTATTCCCAGATAAAGAGAGAGTAGAATTGCCAGACAGTCCTCATCAGTCATCTGGATATAGTTCATTGTTATCTGCAGATCCATCTCCCAAAGCCCTGGCTGTTAATGATGATGTGTCAGAGGTTTCAAAAGTAAGTTAAAACTGGCACATATATATTTTGGCAGAGCTATAGAAAATTTGTGATTTTATTTGTCGTTGATAATGCAAGTGTATAAAGTTAAAATTCTTGCTTTTAAATTGCTTTTAAATTGTAGGAAACAACAATCCAAAAAATGGAAAGAATAAACAAAATGTAAGTAAGAGGATCCAGTTTTATTTTTTAGCAAACAAGATTTCAAATGTAGATACAGAATACAGAAAACAATGTAATGGATATCAGATGAAGTGAACAGAATCTTTCATTACATGCAGCCATAAACTTCTATTTGCTATTTTAGATATGCATAAATGCATAAAAATGCACAAAGAAAATCTCATTTCAATTTCACTTGAATACACCACTCAGAGTTAATGGACATTGTACTTTAACTGAAATTCCTCTTCCTCATTAAATTATGAGTGTACTGTACATGTGTTTTCCATACTCCTATGAGGTAGTATTTTCTTAAAATTGTATTAGACAATGGATCAAACTAAAGTTCTTTATTATTAAAGCATCACATTGTTTTCCAAAAACAAAAATAATTTTTGTTTTTGGAAGACAATATGAGATGCTTTAATAATAAAGTTTAAAGTATTTATTTGCTAAACTTTTTTTTCTATTAGAAGTGCTTTACTGGATTAAGTAGTAATCTGGTTTGAAAAAGCAGTGATGTTTTGTTGGAAAGTATTTTTTTAAAGCTCATAATTTTTAATTTTCTACTGAGAAATATTTAAACTATTATTGATTTTTAAAATTAAAAACTCATTTAACATAATGGAATATGTCTGTCCAATCATATCTCTATGAAATTACATAAATTTACCAATTTTTAATATAGATACAAAATTGCTACTGTTTTTATATTTTGGAAGAGTCATTTAACTTTGTTTACGTATTTTATGTCTTAAGGGTTGAGGAAACTTCAGAATTGTTGAAGATTTCACGTAACACCTCTTCAGAGTATTCTGTTCAGCCAGAGAACTGAAACTAATTATGTGTGTCCTTGAACTTTTTTAGAACTCTTTTGTTGTGTTTGGGATTGAAATTATTTAAACTATTTTTCTATATATATATATAGTATATATCTGTGCCATTGATATGTATCATTTCATTACAAATAACTCAATATGTGGCAACATTAATGTACTCAGTCTATTTTTGTAACAAAATTTGCTGGCATTAGGTTAAATGGTATATAGTTTTAAAGAACTGGCTCAATGAGTATATTTTATATTTTGTTGGAAATATTCTATCTGTGGCTTGCATATTATACCTAAGGAAAATATATATGTGCCATCAGTAAAGTGTGCAAGCCTTTTACACATATTGTATATATATTGTTTTTTAACTTAGCTTAAATACATTCAGATATATTTTAATATTTATCTGTGAACAGAGCAGCAATACATTTCAGCTTTCAGCGTGCATGATAAAGTAAAGGCTATTTTGATAAAAGTTATTCAATACATAAATAAGATTTTGAGATTTTGACTGGTAAATATGATGAATATTTTAGTGCTAGATAACCTGACACATTTTAAAATCAGAGGGACAGATGGAGACCATTGGGTTGGTATATAAAAATGCACACTTTTATGATTTGAAGCCGTATAAATGATTCTTTGGAGATTAAAGTCAATGTAAAATAGTCATAAATATGATTTATTTGGTGAGAAATACCTAAGGAATTGGGGAAAGGAATAAATGTCTTTAAATTGTTTCATATTTATATGTTACATTGGGAAGTTTTTAATTATATTAATCATACTTCCATATGTTCATATCAAAAGATATTTATCGCATTTATCATCGATATTTTTTTAATACCATGTTTCCCGAAAATAAGACCGGGCGGGTCTTAATTTTTTTTGGGGGGCCTCCAAAAGAGGCACCAGGTCTTATATTTGGGGTAGGCCTTACCTCACCTTTGGCACTGAAAGCCCCACCCAGCCGGTCTACTTCTTCTGGGGCTGAAGTTCTGCAGCTGCATTCAGGCCTGCATTTTGCAATTAGGCCTTTCCAGAAGGCCTAAACAGTCGAGTACCAAGCAATGGATTCAATCCATTGCTTGGTGCTTGGCTGTTGAGGTCTTGCAGAACCGAGCTATGGATTGAATCCATAGCTCGGTTCTTGGCTGCTCAGGCCTTCCGGAAAGCCCTGTGACTGAGAAATGCAGGCCTGGCTGCAGAAGAGGCCTCAGAAGAAGAAGTGGGCCGGCAAGGAGAGGCCTGGCTGCAAGGTAAGTGGGTGCAGGCGAATGGGGCAGCTCCACACGCCACCCTTGCCCTAGCTTGTGCCTCGCCCCAAAACTAGGGCTTATTTTTGGGATAGGGCTTATATTAGGCCCACCCCCAAAATCAAGCTAGGGCTTATTGTTGGTGTAGGCCTTCCTTTCGGGGAAACACGGTAGTAGGGTCTGAAAATGTGGGAAAGCAGTTTCTGTAAAAGTAATTTGGAGGGGGGGAAGGGAGGCATATGTCCCCTGTGTTAAACTAGCTCTGTTTAAGCTAGTTTATACTGTGTCTTAGCTATTTCTTAAAAGGAAGTTTCTCAAAAGTTAATCATATTCCCAGATTGTAAAAAGTAAAGCAGAAGCATAATCTTTCTAAGTAAATATATATCTATTTAGCTAACCACATAATATTAATAGTATAGTCCTACTATACTAAGTAATATTTTAAGTAATTAAGTACTATTTTAAGTAATTAATTCAAATTGCTTTTCACAATATTGGGATATTATTGAGCAATGCGGAATTACATCATAATTTATATTTATTCAACTATGTATAATAGAATTGCTAATATTCTTTTTATTTCTGTTGGAAGTAAGAACAAATTGAGAAGACACATTTATTACATGAAAGATATTTTTCCCTAAATTTTCAGTGGTAAGAATTATGACAGTAATTGACCCTGGAATTATGGTCCTAAGTCATGGAAGTCATTAAACAGGTCATCAAGCTACCGTACCCGATTTATCTTTTTTGCAGCAGTCATTAAGCGAATGCCATGGTCATTAAGAGAACCTGTTTTCTTCAATGAGTGTTTTTTGCTGGGAGTAAATGCTATAAATCAGCAAAAAACCCACTGAAAATAAGTCATGTGACCATAGGATGCTGCAAATGGCCATATATGCGAGCTGATTGCCAAGTGCTCAAAATGTGACTACAAGTGGATGGCTGTCCGAACTCTGGAACTGGTCATAAGGAGCTCTGAGGAGCTCTGTTGTGAAATTGAATGCCTGTAAGCTGCCTAGAATTGCCTTCGTGAGATGGGCAGCATGGAAGTTTAATAAATAAAAACATTGAATGGTCACTAAACAATTGGTTGTTAAATGAGAGCTAGCTCTATAGCATTAAATAATTTTACTTACAACAAGAAGAAAAGAGGAAATCAAGCATATAAAACAGTATAAAATTTCCAGTTTTCGAATAGTGAGGAAAGTTCTTCAGATTAATTAAATTAATTAGAACAGATGCTATACTTGATCTTAGCCAAAACTCATGGAATAACTGCACAATTGACAGCGATAAATTATTCAGGGATAAATCCTGTAACTACATAAAATATCAGTTCCATTTCTAATATGTTTGCTCAAAACTGTGATTAAAAATTATAAGCATTACAAAATGCAGCACAATTTAATGATCAAGATATCCTTTAAAAGCACTTTTATACATAACAAATTAATTCTATATTTTGAGCATACCATTTCCAACTAATAACAAAATCTATTTTTTTCCATTTTACATGCACGTTTATTATTTAGTGCATGGTGAGAACATGACAGAAGAGAAGTAAACATCTATACACAGTCCACGTAATTATAAGTAAAACTTATATAGGGATATGGCAGTGGCCTCATAACTGGATGTCCAATTCAGCTGTCCAGTGATCGCCTCTGGTGTTGTTTCATGCAGATCTAGGGAATCAGAATGCATGTTGTAGGCAATCTTGATCAATATGTTTAATCATTTGCATATCAGTAGCACAATTGCAACAACAGGACTCTCCATTCCCACTGATACAGGGCACCTATATCACACCTAATTCTGTTCAATTTTGATCAAACAGAGAGAAGCAAGTCAAAACCAGGTGGTTTGGTAGAGGGATCACTAATGGTCAGACTCCAAGAAGGTATCTTGGACCATTTCTCTTTCCAGGCATCTCAGGGTTAAACTGGGTAAATGTTAAGTGAATAGCTGTTTTCCAAGCTGTCCTATGGGATTTCAATCTTGTGATGGGCTGTGCATTGTCCTGGTGAATAGGGAGGACCTTGTTCTGTATCCTTGATCATAGCTGAACAAGATGTTGTCTTCTAATGTGGGGCAGTATGATATTGCTAAGTACTGGTAATCAGTGCATAAGAGTGAGATACAACTTTATAACTAAAGTTACAATCTGGAAAATATGTTCCCTAAAAAGAATACCAGTATAGCTATAATATAACTTCAAATTAATTAAACAAACTTATGCTGTGGGGGCACAATGGTTAAAATACAGTATTACATGATAACTTTACATTCCACTGCCAGGAGTTCGATCCTGACTGGCTCTAGGTTGACTCATCCTTCCATCCTTCCATGGTCTGTAAAATGAGGACTCAGATTGCTGGAGATAAGATGCTGTCTAATAAAGGAGAATATTTGTAGCTCAGAGTTGACATGAAGGATCCTTGGTGCTCTCTGAGCTTGCTTGTTTTCTTTCAGACATTTCATTACCCAAACTACAATAGATAACATCATGAGTGCTAGTATGGAGTGCTGTTTGCTGTCAGTTTATATTCTAGTGGCTTGCCTGTCAGTGTTGGTGGGACTAGTCTTAGACATTCTTTGATTGGACTGTTCGCTGTTGGCTTCTTTGGAAGTTTTTTCATTGGGGTATTGTTTACTTGATTGTTGGTCTGATGTTAACCATTAATCAGACCAATAATCAAGTAAACAATAAAGTGGAAACTGCCAAAGAAGCAAACAGCTCATTCTCCAGCATGATGGATGGAGAATCCACGAGTGGGTTGTCTTAATCCTCCTGCTCAAATTAGACTAAGTCTGGAAAGTTGCCACACCTCCTACTGGGCTAGAGCACCCCAGTTTACGACTTAGTCTCTTGCTCAGCAGACGCGTAAATTGTGCTCCTTTCCAGATTTAGCTGCAGGTTGTATTCTTTCCACTCGTGGATTTTCCTCCTTCATTACCTTAATTGGAAAATAATTGGAATTAATTTGGCTCACTTTCCCTCTAAAATTGAACTTATAAATTTCACCTTGCACTGAGGAGAATTTCTATCAGCCTTCAGGGTTGCCCTGCAGGCTGCAGTCTCCTGCCCTTCAGGAGAGGCTTCGCTCCACGCAAGTCCTTCCGAAGACTCGAAATTGCACCAGCTGTTGAGTCCTTGAGGCTTCTCGCTGGAGCCGTCACAGTGATTTCGGCGTTCCTCAGCGTTTTCCCTCGCCATCAGACGATCCCTCACAGAATCGTCTGCCTCTCTTTGAACCGGCTGCCTGATTCAGCAGTTCACAGCAGCGCCGAATTTCACCCCTTAAGCCCTTAGACGATCGGCCATTTCGGCCTCTAATCTGATAAGGCCATCACTGGAGGCAGCGTTCCTGCCGGGGCTCTAGATATCATAGAGGCCGTTAATTTGAGCGTGAAAATAGCCTGGCCACCATTTTGGGTGCGGCACATTCGGCCTGAGCTGCATTCGAGCCTCTAGCCAAGAATTGCTTGAAGGCCAGATTTGGGGCGCAGATCACGTGGCCGCCATTTTGAGCATTGCGCGAAGGGCTTCATTCGATTTTCCAGCCTGTAGGCTTCAGTCAATTGGGGCCCTTACTACCATTTTACCATTTTGCCAGCCGTTGCGTTTTCAATTTGGGGAGGGCAATCTCGCCCCTGTGGGGTCTTATTGCCTGGTCTTACACCCCCATCCCCCCCACTCTAAGCAGTCAGGCCTGCACATGCAGAGAGTTACCCCTGGGGGGGAGACTGAGTCAGGTGGTCATCTGTAGAGCGTGCGGGCACTGTGCCGCCACGATTGGCCTCGCTGACAACAGCTAAGTCTTTGTCAGCCATTTATTAGAGTATTGGTCAGAGCTACCTGGGTCCAGGCTTGGACACACGGTTTTCCCGTATTTTTTTCTGCTCCACATTGCGGGATTCCTCCCGGCCTATCACTAGGATATCCCACTGAAATGGCAGATAATTTGGTTCCTCAGTCTGCACAGGGCGTTCCAGACTTCCCGCCAGAAAGAAACACAAATCTTCCACAATGGAAGCGGCGGGGAGGCTTAAGGCCAAGGCCAGGGCTCAGTCCAGTAGGAAGCCCTCGAAAGCAGCTGAGAAGGAGGCCAATAGACGTCATCAAGGCCTTGGAGAAGGAGTTCTCCAAGGCGCAGAAAGTGACTCCAGGTGAGACAGACATTAACACTCCTGCTCCACCTGTGATGTCACTGTTCGAGCCGCAGTTAGTTCCCTCTAATCTAGCCCCACGGGCTTGGTCTCCTCAAAGGGAGACTGTACAGATGGAATCCACTTTCCCTAGCCAGGGTTTAGAACCGCGGAGGGTTTCCCCTCCAGTCACGGTACAATCAGGCGGAGGCCACCTTTACGCCCACCGCAGCGGGGCTTCGTCCCACTGAGACGCAGGTAGCGTGGCCTGATCAATTTCAAACAATGATGGCTCAGGCCTTCGCCCAGGTTATGGCCTCTTTCGTTTACCAGCGGCCCCGACAGGAACCTGCAGTTCCACTAAGGACATTTCCTCAGACAGAGGCCCCTGCATTTTCTCATTCGTCTTCGATCAGATCCTCTCAGGACGAGGAATCAGACTCTGAGGACTTCGAGCCATCGGGCTTACTTCTGTCAGACGAGGAGGCTTCTTCGGATCCATCGCCGCTCACCGGCTTGTTTGACCAGTCACTGTTTGGTTCGCTGCTTCTCAAGGCGTGCACCTCAGCTAACATCACCCTGGAGCAAGAGTCAACCGGCTCCTTCTACCTCCCAGGACCCAAATCCATTGTACTCTGAGCCGGTGGTTGCACAGAAACATATTCCCTGCCCGCCTTTCTTTCACAACACGGTCCAGAAGCAGTGGGCAAACCTGGGCTCCCTCCCCACGATGGGTGTATCGGAGAAAAAGCTCTTTAATGTGGCTCCTTCCTTCTCATTGTTACTAGAGGTTCCTCTAGTGGATGAACCGTTAAATTATCTGTTTTCTAATCCCACTGTTCCATGGAACATGGCCGAAGCTCTGAAGGCGGAGGACAGGAGATTTGAATCTGCCTTACGCGGGTCCCATCAGGCTTCGGCGTGGTCGGTGAAGGCGTCTACATCCCTAACCTTTTTTGCCCGGGCCTCCATCATATGGCTTCGTGAACTCCAGGATATGGTTCCCCCAGACCAGGTTCGCGCGCATCAGAACCTGGGTTTGTTGGTGGCAACATCACAATACATGGCAAACGCTTCTTTTTATGCCATAGCCGCAGACGTCTCAGCCCGCAGACCTCTCTGGCTCAAACAGTGGCGAGCGGACTTAAAGTCTAAGTGGCGTTTGGCTACCGCTCCTTACAGTGGAGGTCAGCTTTTCAGTGAGACCCTCAACCCTTATCTGGTAGAGGGTAAAGACAAACGAAAAGTTATGATACATAATAGGAGAGCGGATAGGCTGTCCCAACAATACTTTCGCAGACAGTCCTTTCATTCGGCTTCCACTTGGGACTGGCCTCAACCCCCTTGTTCCTTTCCCCCCAGACCAGATCGTCCTCAGGACCGTCCTGCGCCCAGGGCCAGAACGCAATTCCAGGCCAAGCAGCCCTTTCGAGGTTCAGGAGGACGTCCTTTTAGAAGGACCAAGTGACTCCAGGGACGCTTCTCCCATAGATGGCCGACTCCCTCTTCGCCAGCATATGGGAAGCCACCACCATAGACTCCTGGGTGTTAAACACCATCACGGTCTAGCCCTGGAATTCTTGTCCAGTTCTCCAGAACGTTTCCGGTCTTGTCCTACCCCCAGGAACACAATCAAAGTGGGTCTCAAGTCAGAGGCTATTTCCCATTTGTTACAAATAAGGGCCATAGAGCCAGTTCCGGAGGATCAGAAGGGGACGGGGGGGTTATTCCAATCTTTTTGTCATTCCAAAGTCTTCAGGGGGCTGGAGAGCAATATTGGATTTAAAAAAGCTAAATTCCCACCTGACTTACAGGAAGTTCAAAATGCAAACGCTCCAGTCTATCCTAGCCAGCATCAGGAGGGGAGACTTCCTGACATTTATAGACTTAACGGAGGCGTATTTGCATATTCCCATCCTCCCTGGACATCGCAAGTTCCTCAGATTTTGCCATGCCTGTCAACATTTCCAATACAGAGCACTTCCATTCGGTCTCTCCTCGGCCCCTCGAGTATTCACGAAGGTCTTGGCAGTGCTGGCCGCCTACCTGAGACAAATTCGGATACGAGTTCAGTGCTATTTGGATGATATTCTGATCCAGTCTCCATCCTTCCAGTTGGCTCAATCGGACCTAACACTCACCTTCAGGCCCATAGGTTTTCTGTAAATTTCCAAAAAAGTCACCAGCTCTTCCAGCCAGAAAGTACGAGTTCCACGCCAGGTATTGAACTCCCTTTGGTGGTGGGTCTCCCAGCAATGACAAAGGGCGCCCTGTTCAAAGAACCAGTCAGGCTTACCCTGACTACGGATGCCAGCCTGTTCGGCTGGGGAGCACACCTTCAGTTGGAGTTGGCTCAGGGTCGGTGGTCCCAGGCAGACTTGAAACACAATATAAACTGGTTAGAGCTCAGGGCCATACATCTAGCCTTACGCCACTTCAGCAGCAGGGTGGCGGGGCAGCATGTCCTGGCACTCACTGACAATGTTGCAGTGAAACCTCATGTGAACAGACAAGGGGGGACCCGGTCCAGGCCTCTCATGGAGGAGGCCCAGTTGTTGAGTTCTTGGGCGGAGACCAACCTTTGTTCCATCAAGGCGGAACACATCTCCGGAGAGGTGAATCAGCAGGCAGACTCCTTGAGCAGGTCAACAGTGGACCACTCCAAGTGGCGCCTGGACCCTGGCTTGTTCAGGGAGATCGTGGACAGGTTTGGCCGTCTAACATTAGACCTCTTTGCCTCCAGCCAATTCCCAACTTCCAAGATTTTTTTCCAGGTTCCTATCTCCGAGAGCAGAAGGGACGGATGCCCTCCGCAGCCCCTGGCCCAGGGAGCTGTTTTATGCCTTTCCCCCCTTCCTCTGATTCCGGCGACAATCCACAAGATCCTGCACGAACGGGCGGAGGTCGTTCTAATTTCTCCACATTGGCCGAGACATCCGTGGTTCGCCGATCTGGTGGAGCTTTCCATCTCCCCCCCCCCGAGGATCCCTCCAGGTCGTATTGCCCTCAGCCAGGGAGTCCTTCGACATCCAGATCCTCAGTGGCTCCAACTAACCACTTGGCACTTGAGCGGCGGGCCCTGACCCGGGATTCTTATTCGTCGAGGGTGATCGCCATGATTCAGCAATCCAAGTGCCCCTCTACGAATAGAATTTACGATGCCACATGGAGAAACTTTTGTCTCTGGTGTTCAGGACACCAGGTCCAACTCTCGGCCATCACTATCCCGATAGTTCTAGAATATCTGATGGACGGGTTGGAAAAAGGATTATCACTCAACACCATCCGCAGACAGGTTTTGGTCCTATCCACGGTGCTTTGTGACAATTCTGCCCCTTTGGCACACCACCCTACGGTGTGTTCCTTTATCAAGGGGGCGACTAACGCCAAGCCACCAGCGGTCCATCGTTATCCCTCTTGGGACCTATCCCGGGTCTTACAGGCCCTTACCTCGCCACCGTTTGAACCCATTAAGGCATGTACGCTGCGGCTACTGTCTATGAAGGTGGCTTTCCTCGTAGCGGTCTCGTCAGCCAGGTGAATATCAGAGCTGGCTGTCCTCTCTGTGCATTTTCCATGCAGACAGGGTGACCCTTCGCCTGGATCCTTCATTTGTCCCCAAGGTTAATTCCTTGTACCACAGGTCCCAGAAGGTGGTGCTTCCTAATTTCTGCCCTCGCCCATCTCATGAACTAGAAAAACGATGGCACACTCTGGACGTTCGCAGGGCCCTGCGATGTTATATCAAACAGACTTCTGCCTTCCGTAAATCCGAGGCACTGTTTGTTTCCTTTCAACCCTCTTCCATGGGTCAGAAGATTTCCTCCTCGACCATAGGCAGGTGGATTAGGGCTTGAATTGCGCAAGCATACCAGTCACATTCATTGCCTGTTCTTGGTTGCATCACTGCCCATTCCACCCACAGTGCTGCTACATCGGCGGCTTGGGTGACCCAAGCATCTTTCGGAGAGATCTGCAGGGCGGCGACTTGGTCCTCGCCTTCCTCATTTGTCAAACATTACAAAATAGACAAATTTTCCTCCACGGATGCCTCGTTTGGACGGAGGATATTACAGCAAGTGGTATCAGCCAGTGGGACACAGGACCAGACTGGTTCCCCCCCTTAGGGACAGCGGGGCTTTGGTATGTCCCACTCGTGGATTCTCCTTCCAGCATGCTGGAGAAGGGGCGTTGTCTTACCTGAATGCCTTTTCTCAGCATGATGGAGAATCCACACCCTCCTTTTAGTGTCCGTCAGGTCCTATGCCCAGGGTAGGCAGAGCCTTTGCGTCGGACTATCGTCTGTGCCTCGCCTTTGTCGTAAACTGGGGTGCTCTAGCCCAGCAGGAGGCGTGGCAACTTTCCAGACTTAGTCTAATTTGAGCAGGAGGATTAAGACAACCCACTCATGGATTCTCCATCATCATGCTGAGAAAAGGCGTTCAGGTAAGACAAGCCCCATCAAAGAATCTCTAAGACCACCCCCACCAATACTGACAAGCAAGCCACTAGAATATCAGCTGAGAGCAAACAGCACTCCTTACTAGCACTGATGATGTTACCTAGTTCAGGTAATAAAATGTCTGCAAGAAAACAAGCAAGCTCGGAGAGCACCAAGGACCCCTAATATGTTGTCTCTGTAAATAGCTTAAGAGAGTGCTGTCAAGCACTATAAAATAGTATATAAGTCTAAGTACTAGTGCTAAGTGCTGCAGATCATTATGTTAAGAAAGAAGTGATGTGTCAAAAAAAAATAACAAGCTCTGAAATGTGGTTTGATGCAATATGTAGATTCATGTCATGTAGTTTTAAGATGTCTCTATACATTTTTGATCAGGCAAATGCCAAGGTTATTTGTTGTATTTGTGTAACAATTCTCATGAAAAATACTGTAACATTCTGTATGAACAGATGCCTATAAGCCTATCTATACCTTATGTTAGGATTGCTAACCTATATTCTTATTTAGGTTATATTGTCTTTCTCATAAATTTCTTCAGTACATTAGTATTGCAATCACAAATTGAACAGATTAGATAGATCAACCTTTCTCTTCTATTGAACCATCAACTTTCCAACTGATCCAAATGGATAGTCATGTAATCTGACAATCCTTTTACTGTGACAACACACTTGAAGGATGCTAAAATGGGAAGAAGGGTGATTTGTATAGTTTGTCAAACCTGTCACTAAAGCTGAAATTTTGAAACAAGATGGTTGCCATCCTAGAAGCTCAGGATGGACAATATACACATTCCCAATACAGTCTTCATCATTGGCCATGCTGCCTTGCAATCATATTATGCAGATGAATAAATATTTGAAAATCTACACATTACTGATTTCAACTGTATGCTAGCTCATAGAGAGTTTACAAATACATTTTCTTTCCTGTGCATATCAAATATCCTCCGAAAATATCCCTGCCTAGGATATGACAGATGATCTGGAACATATACTTTATCAATATGGTCCCCCGAAAAAATATTACCGTTTTTATTTCTCTACATGTTCATAAATCTTATATCTCTTATATAAATGTCATATAAGATTTATGAACATGTAGGGAAATAAAAACAGTAATATTTTCTCAGGGGACTGAGAAATCTATAAATCTGCATAATGATGTTGAGAATCATCAGCAAACTGCTTTATGAGGCAGGCTATGTATATCCTTTTTGTAAGGTAATAAAATGATTTGAAATGTAATGATGAAACTACACACACACACACACACACAGTAGTTGAAATTTAGTGAGCTTATTTAAAGTCACATTTCAGTCTGAGTCACTCACAATTTTATAACAATATAATAGAGTTTGCACAACATGTTATCATAGTTTTCAAAACTCTTAATAGGTGAATCAATCAATATCCTTAAACCTAAATGAAACAACTAATAGTATGCTTCAATATGTTGCATGATGCAAGCCAATGAGTGAAAGACTTCCTATTGTTACATCACAGTTTCCTTCTCCATAGTTTGGAAATCAAGTCTTCTGAAATAATTTATCTTGGATATGTTGTTCCACATCACCAGATGATATTCACAAAAATCAAACTTACTGTATTATGGGTTTAAAGAAATTGAAGAGCTCAGTTATAAAGATGTGACCAGAAACTGAATATTGGAGCAGATTATCTCCAAGTTCCAAGTCAAACTAAGCAGAATAAAGCCAATCAATTTCAATACTATGATCTTGAGCTCATACCACAATTTTCCAAAACAATAACAGGAATTGTTTTGAAGTCCTGCATCTCATTGATAGAGGAATTGTGAAATAAAATCTAGAGAAATATGACAAACAATAGAAGAAGAATCAACAGATTCCAATAGATTTCTCTGTGCTAGAAAACCTGGAAAACAATATAGTGACCAATAGATTAGAAGAGGTCAATCTAAATATTAAATAAAGGAAGGTTAACAGGATGTTCAAAGTATTGTAAAATATCCTTAATCCTTAGTATTTTGCAGGAAAATTATTAACACAGATGAGAGCTCTGCATGCTGAGGAACAACAGATATTATTGCAGAAGTGCACTTGATAATTGAGGAACCTAAAGAAAATAAACAAGTCAGTATGTGCTTTATTGATAATAGAAAGGCCTTTACTTGTGTTGATTTTATCTGTGAATTTCCTCTTAATTAACTAATTTGTATTGTTGAATATTTTACTTTCCTGGGAAAGAGTTTATCAAGTTAGTTATGTAATAATACGATAATTGGGGCCAGCATAATGAAGGTAAAGTGGGTAAACAATTTAGTGTTATAACTTTGGCATTCTAACCTACATTTCAGGGGTAGTGCTCAAAATATTCTTGTTTACTTTCCAATATTGGAGAGTTGAGAACATTCAAAATCAAGAAATAAAAAAGTAAAGCATGAATTATCAAAATAGACAGATTTGAAAACTTCTTACAGTCACAAATTTCTACTTGAAGAAGCAATTCTGACTAGGTGTTTTTTTGTTTTTGTTTTGGCTAGGTTATTTGTGAACAGGATTGGTGTTTTGGCTTTCATTTTATCATCCTTGCATACTATTCCTTTTTATATCTGTTTTTCCACTCTGATTATTCAAGTCATTTGATATGTTTTCCCTAAGGTAAAATATATTTATTTTATCTTATTTACATTTTCATTCATTTATTACAAATGTGCAACACTCAAATTTTTGCTAGGGTTGGAAAAAGTATCATTTGCAAACTAAAAAATAGTAATTTAGAAGCATCTGGCTCCAAGATTTATATCAGTGCTTAAATCCTGAAAGTACTGGCATCCTAGAGCTCTCTGGAGAAAAGGCAGGATCTACATTAGCACTTGTAGTGTACCCATTAATGCATTGCTGAGCAAAATAGACATAAAGTACTAAAATAAATCTAAAACCTGAGAATAAAGATATTTGTGATTTACTAAGAAGGGAAAAGAAATGGGATGATTTTATACTTCTATTTTAAAGCAAACAAAGATGAAATTGCTTTGGGAGATATTTTGGTCATACTATTTACTTTCATTAAATACTGGTCTTTTTTAAAAAATCTAGATTTTTCAGTCTTTTAGCTATGTATAATTTTACTCTTCTTATGAACATGACTACACCTTCACCTTCATTTCATCTATTATATAACTGGACCTAATATCTAGTGGAATTTAATTGACCGTGCAGCCATAATTCTTAAGTTTATACAGTATAGTTTCTTAAGCCATACTTTTTATTTTTTTTACTAAAATGTAATGAATAAAACAGAATTCTTAGTTTGGTTTCCTCTATCATCTTCTTCTTCTTGTGCCATATCCGTTATCGGATGTTGGCGATCATGTTTTTATCAGCAGCTGCACGAAAAAGTGCTGCTGAGTTTTGTCCAAACCAATCCCTTATATTTTGAAGCCATGATGTTCTTCTTCTGCCTGGACCTTGTTTGCCTTCAATCTTTCCCTGGAGGATTAAATGGAATATGCCGTATTTTTCTGGGTGTTGCATCACATGTCCGAAATATTCTAACTTTCGTTTTTTAATTGTTTTGATGATTTCCCTTGGCTTTCCCAGGCGGTTTATCACCTCCTCATTTCTGATCTTGTCAACCCAGTTTATACGTAAGCTGTAAATCCACATTTCAAATGCTTCTAGTCTCTTCAGGTGACCTTCTGTCAGAGACCAACTCTCTACTCCATAGAGCAGGATAGAAAAAATATAGCATCTGACAAGCCTGATTTTCAGTCTTAGGCTTATGTCGTGACTGCAGAAGATCTTTTTCATTTTGAAGAATGCTGTTCGAGCTTCCTCTATTCTTGTCTTTACTTCAGCGGTCATGTCCCAGCTTTCATGTAGATTAGAACCGAGGTGCGTGATCCTTTCAACTTTTTCTAATAGTATTCCTTCTGAATTTATTGGTGGTAAATTAACGAGTTGTTTGCTGACGACCATGATCTTGGTTTTTGAGGTGTTAAAATACGGCTTCAAGCCGTATTTTTCAGATATTTCTGTGACTCTATTGATGAGGAGCTGAAGGTCATCATGCACACTGGCAAGCAGAACTGTATCA